GAGCTGTTTTCACAGGTCAGCGGTCTTCTAAAGCTAAATATGGCAATATAGTTGGTGCTGGTCAGCGGAACGTGGAACTCTCACTGAGCATTAGCCAGCGTAGCGGGTACTGTGTTTGAATTGCGGCGAGTTGATGACATGATTACTCCGATTAAGTCCGTCAAATGAGCGGCCATGATCATCCCACTGGAACGCACTTAATTTGGGTTTGGTCAAAAGATTTATTAAGGCCCAGTGGCCGGGTATCATAACATCCCACCGGATCCTGCTACTTAAGGACTCGAGAAATCACTCGAGAGGGCCAGCCGGTAATTGATAGCTCAGAAATGTCCGATGACAGGAGAAATCTGGTTATCGGGTCGCAGGCCATGGTGCTTGACCTCTGAGCCAGGCCGGTCCGGCTCTTCATAACGCTTTCGAAGGCCCAGAGCCGACTTGAACTTCATCAGTTTTCGCAAGGGCAGCAAAACGCATCTCCAAGGACTTTCAGAGTATCACCGAAGCCTCACAGTAACTTCGAGGCAGCTGATCTTCCTTACACGACTCTCCTCCCCGAATCCCTCATCCTCTTCTTCGAGCACCACATCATCGACCGTACCCACGGTCTTGGTCCTCACCTCGACCTCGCAGTCGCTCTGCTCTGTAAACCATGCTGCGATGCTGAGGACCTTCTCAATTGCTCTGCCTGTGCCGAGCACGATAGCCTCTCCATTCCCTCCTTTGGTGCCGTTGTCGCGATGGAGCAGGTCGATGCGCTGGTTGAGGTTCATGCCCCTCGTCGACGGCGCGTTGCCTTTGAGAGACTTGTCCAGTTGCTTGCGGACACGTGAGACTGCTGACATGAATGGTGTTGACGCTGACACGTAGATGAGTTGTGATTTTGATGAGTTGGGTTGTTGACGGCGAGGCAAGGCACGCTTTTGAATTTTGGAGCCTGATATTGGGTTAGGCGAAGACTCATCCGACGGGGAAACTAAGTTTGGAGTGGCTGGCTTACCTTCAGGCAGCCGAGGCAACTTGTTCATAGTGGAAGACGACTGTCTTGTAGAGGGTGATTTATCTCTGCCAGCCTGGCCTTGTGTTGTTGACCGAGTCGGCGCCATGCTAGGCCAGGCAGCTGCGTGGGTGTGAGTGAGTCTGAGACTTGAAATCCTTTCTGCCTTGACGGTTTTGCGGATCTCGATGGCGTGTATGAGGTTCAAAAGGGTCTCGTCAGATCAGAGTTAATAGGAGTTCTCTGAGTTTACCTAGCTGTGTGGCTCTAAGATACGCCGGCCTGGAATGTTTAACATCGAAAAAGATGCTGAACCGTCCCCCGGATAAGAAAAGTGCATGGAGTGGGCCCAGACCCCGTCTGCAGCGGCGGGGCAGGCGCACCTTCCTCCGCTAAATCGGTTCGGCCCCCACTTAAGAAGGCACCGCGCACCGACCACTCTGGTCCAAAGCCTCCCGCGATGACGAGATGCCCTTCTGGAGCTTCAAACTATCCACCATGAGCTAATCGAATAACACCATTCGCCCTGTTGCGGCTGCCTACGAACTGTTTTTACCACACAAGACTAGTCTCACGAGCTGTCGAAGCGGAAGCGAACCTGAGTTGACAGCATGTCAATAGCAATCTGGCCTCCGGTGTCCCCAGAGGAGCTGATAAAAGGGAAACAGGAATGCCTCGTACGTACCCTCGCCGTCTCTGCTTGCCCCGCGTCGAACCCCTAATCATTGGATCCCAATCTCGGAAGACACAATGCTAATCAGACTCGACAAACTCTCACAGGCCCGAGAGCTAGAATGGATCGTCGTAGAAACACACGCGATCCTTAAGGACATCCGCCACGGCCTGCAGGACTGCTACGCTCTTCTGGCGCCCATCGACCCGGGAAGCACTCTCGTCATGAGCACGCAGCGTAACGAGCGCGTAAAGGGGACAGTGACCCGGGTCGGCACGCGGATAATCAAAGGGGTAAGTCTGTTCTCTGCCGACTACCTCTCCCTTTCGCGACTACGTACACGTAGCTAACACCTTCAAGACAATTCACCTCCAGCTCAAAACCCTCCCAACACAGACTTTGAACCTCGACGCCTCGCACCCAGTCCACATCGCTGCCCTTGAAACAATCCACACCCACCTAACAGAATGTCTCGACCTTCTCTCCCTCACAGACACACCGAGCCCTTCCAATAACCCTTCTCAGCTCGCCGCCCAGCTGCGCATCATCGCCGCCTCCCTCAACGAGTCCTCCTCTCTCCTCAAGGGCCCGGCCCTGAACGAAGTCGATCACAGCTGGCAGACCGACTCCTGTCCGCCCGTCCACTTTAGCCCAACCCTCGGGCCAAATATCAGCGTTCACCTAGGCCTCCAAGAATCGAGTCTGGTCCTCTGGTTGCGCGCTCTCGAACCCGTTGATTCGCCGGTACACTTCGGCACCAAGCTCGGTCTAGCCTTGGGAACGGTCCGAAGACTGGAACACGACGAGATGGACCGCCCTTTTCGGTTCACGTATAGCACCGTTACGGATGGCGGGCTGAAGCACAGGCATGGCACGGCGCATCCAAGGAGCAGCGGAAGCAGCCCCAGCGGGCTGGGTACACCCTCCAGTAATGGAGAAGCTACGGAGGTCTTTGTGAGGGAGAAGGTGCGGGTTGAGAGTCTGCCAGATCCCAATCTCATGTCTCTGTCTGCAAAGTTGGTTGCCTTGGGTCACACGCTGGCCAGTGCTAGGAGAAATCTAGCAGCTGTCATGGGTGAGGAGTTCGACGAGTGAAGCAATCTGTAAATGTAGTTATATACCCAGGAGTTCGGCAGGCTAAGCTGGCATGTCTTTGGCAAGGTTACTGTCTTCAAATTCCTATGTGCTGGTCTTGTTTACCAGGATTCTGTACACATACAAGTCGCCAAATGGAAGCCTTTTTCCATGATCAAACCAAGCCATCTGTCTTCCTAAAGCTGGAAAACGTAATCCCTAAAGCAGTTCATCCCTAGTTGCCTTCGCTGGCCTCACACACGCTGGACCAGGATGATTCCTCACATCGGTCAGCGTACCCAGTGTGTTGGCCTCGTTGGCATCGACAAATGAAAGCTGATATGGGCGATATGTAGAAGCATGCGATGCCACGCATAGCAGAAACGCGGCCGAGCTGAGTAAGAGTCCAAAAAACCCCCCACGATTACGCCACAGGAGACCAGGGCATCGGGATCAAGATTCTCGACTTCATGCTCTGAATAAGAGGCACAGTCTTGTGGACAGTCTCGCTCCAGCCCTCGACGCTCCAGCTCTTCTCGCGGCGGATCTTTCGCTCCTCGAGGTTGGCGAACTGCCACAAGTGGTGAACGGTGTTCAGGTCTCCTATCTGCACAAACCAAGCGCCGACACCCTCCATGACTTCGCGTCTCGCCTTGAGGCCGCGTCTCCAGTGGGTCTCCCACTCGAGGAGGTTGCCGGGGTGGAGAGTGTATGATCGCAGCTCGAAGATGCCGCCAAGCTGGCGGGGAGGCGTAGTGGGCCAGAAGGAGAACTCCTGCATGAGGGATGTCTTCTTCGAGGTGATGAGGCTCTTAAGCTTCTTATCGAACTCGGCGAATTCGGGGTGCGAGCCAATGTTGTGGATTGACTCGTGGTAACCCTGGTAGCGCTGGTACTCCCAAATATGGACTGTGACCCTAATATTAGCATCATGTGGTTTCGCTTCAGCATGGGTTGTTTTTTTCTCGGCAAGGTAACATACCAAACGTATCACAGTCTCCAACTTCGGTTCTCCAGCTTCCAACTAGATGGACCTTATTCTCGGGCATGGAAGCCATGCGCGGGTACCAGCTGCCGACAAGCTTGGTGTACTCCTCCACCTTGTCGGGCTTGACCTCGTGCTGGACGATCGAGTGGACGTACTTGCCTCGGGCAAGGACCTGACTGAAGCTCGCCTCGAGCTGAGCATCGAGTTCGCGACCTTCCTTTGTGCCGTAGATGAGGTTGGTCAAGGGGCCAGCCTTGCGCGAAGGCTCCTGGGTGGCCTCGGCCTTCTGTCCTGAAGTAGCACTCACGGATGAGTCCTGGGCGGGCTCAGAGGAAGAGGCAGGGGAGGAGGAGGATTGAGTATACGCACTTGCTTCCCGCTGTTTCTGCTGCTCGACCAACTGCTCTCGGAACTGCTTCGATTTGTCGTTGAAGGAGGCGACGCTCTTGGGCGCGGCGCTGACGTCGGCCATGGAGGGCACCTTGAGCTGCTGGCTCGTGGAGCTGAAAGCTCGCAGCGCGGAACGCGGGGTCGCCGCGCCGGCTGCTCGCACCAATCGCTGGCTCAGCATCTTTGCCTTTGGTGGTTTGGGGAGGGGATTGGGCAAAGAAAGGATGTTTCTGGAGAAGGTAGGTGAGATGAGGAGGTGTATGGTGACCAAGAGGTGTCGTTTCTTCTTCTGCTTGAGCCAAGGGACGTTTTGTCTACTCAAACAAAGGTGACAAAACGTGCTCTTTGTTCAGCAAGAACAAGCCTCTGGTACGTGATGTGAAGGAGGAAGGAGAGCGAATTCGATACGTCTCGATCGGCAAGAAGCAGGAAGCACCCGAGAGCAGGGATTTATCACAGGACGGGAAGCAAGTCGGCGTGCAGAAAGGGCGTTTGGAGGCGGCGGCGGCGGACGGACGATTAGGTTGGTACGCTGGCTTGTGGTGGTAGTAGCAACCTATGCAAAGGTAGCGGTTAGGTGTCAAGGTGGTGGTGGTGGTCTCGCCCGTGCTTGAAATGGCAGTCTAGGCAAATGGGATGGATATAATTGGATGAGTTGAGGAGGAGGTCGGGCTACAACCGTGCAACAGTGGTGTGTGTCTCTCGTTCTCTGCAGATTCCCCCGCACTTTCTGGTAAAATGAAGGCGGTAGTAGTAGAGGAGTGAAAGGAGAGAGCTTCAGGAGGAGGAGGTGTGTGTGTGGCAGGGACAAGATGAATGTGACACAAGGGAGGAGATGTTTGGCTTGCTACACTACGGGTTCGGGGTCTGGCACCACCACCATGCCAATCCCTAGGTCCCAAGTCCAACTCAGCCCCCAGAACCTGGGGAAAGCTCTCGCCGCGGCCTGCCACGGCACGGGGGAACGGGTTGCGGGTGAGCGAACCTGGAAGCTGAAGCTTGCTAAGGTCACGGGTGGGTACGTATCACCTCCAAATGCGCCCAGATGCGGAGAAGCGTCGAATGATGTCACATGAGAACCGGGGTAGAAGGGGGTGGATCCGACCTTGAGGAGACAAACGGAAGATCATTGCTGCGGTAATCCGATTATGCTCTTTTCCCGTGACTACCTGAAAGTAACAGGCCCGTGCCCGGAAAAGACCAGAAACGGACGATACTCCACTATTTCGCACCTGTCGCGGCTGTGGCCTCAGGCCACACTTTGCTCGGCTACGGGTCCAGCCGCCGAAACCGAAAGCTCAATCGGAGGAAAAAGGCTCGTTTTGATAGCTTCACATCGAACCTCCGAATACCGCCCGCCATCTAGACCCCTTCAATTTCTCCCCTGCAACCCACATCACAACCGTCAAGATGACCTGGCTCGGAGCTCGCGCACTCAAGAAGTACCCCACGCCCGTCCGTACGTATTCCTCGAAGACCGTCCCTGCGAGCCCGTCGCGCAATCGCTGACCTCCCTTACAGTTAAGCCGATGGCGCCTTTCTTCGCTGCCGGTATGTCCGAGTCCTCCGATGAACTCTGAATCCCGAGCGAACCAACTTGCAAAGAACACGAGAAAGAGAGCGAGAAGACTAGCGACGTGAAGCGCAGCGTGTGCTGATAATCCTGCAGGTCTGGTCATTGCCTACGGCATCAACTCCGCTCAGAACGCCATGATGAAGTGTACGTCGCGCAAACGAGGAACTCCCGAAAGAACGCATACTAATGTTATATACAGCCGACGAGTGGAAGAACGATGCCCGCAACCCTCTCGCCAAGAAGCATTAAGTTCGCAATGGAGTAGCCTAGGCTATACGGGGAGAAGGCCGAGCAACGGGAAACGTGTCGAGGATATAGACCCGCCAACGCGTTTTCTTCATGGACGCTGTATCATAGACGCACGGCTCGCATGCAATTGAGCTGTTGTACTAAAGTACCGATGCCACACGTGCCATAACAATCGAGAACTGCGGGCGCTCTGTGCCTATTCGGTGCGTGAAAGCGTCAGCAATCCGACATGACTGCGCCATTTGCTGTGTAATGACTCTGTACGCGGCATCTGCCGGACATCATTGCGTGAGAGAGAGGAGGTTTCAAAGTCGACAACCAAGAGGGGCGGTCGTCAATTCTGGAGTTGAGTCGCAGTATCACAAAGCGAGGCTCGGACGGACGGCATGTGTATCACGTGACAATGAACAGTCGATAACTCTACCATTGGTTATGATAGAACAAATTAACAGATGACGTACTGTACTAGAATGATATAAAACCAGAATTGACCATATGAGACTTCATCGGACTTCGAGGAGTGATGCAATCGGTTATCGTGGCTCTAGTCCTTATCGCCGTCTCAATTCCTCTTCTTTTCGGCGAAGAGTCAACTGTGGATTTGTCAGTATCCACTTTACACTGTCACTGAATACTTCGACTTCTCAACACGCCCTTTGAACTACATCGTAGATACACACACATGATAACTTCACTTCACTTACGTCTTAGAGCTGTTGCTTCTGTCTCTAGAGTTTCTCAGTTTTCTGCCAAGACCGTCAATAATACCCACTCATACTTCAGCCACATCTTCACCTGCAAAATGTCGACGGTAGCAGGCGCAACCCCGAACGGCTCAGCAGCAAAGAAGCCCAACGGAAAGAAAGAGATTAAAATTCTCATGCTTCACGGTAAGATATGTGCCCTGTTCTCGTACTTTTTATAGAACGCCAAATTAGTCGTCCAGACCCAGCCCATAATCAACATTTCTTCTCCATGACCCCTCTCCAAATCTCATCAAAACCTCACTAACACTCCAAGGCTACACCCAATCCGGGCCCCTCTTCCGCTCAAAAACCCGCGCCCTAGAGAAACTCATCGCAAAGTCCTTGGGCCCCTTCAACCTCGCCCCAACACTCTTCTACCCAACTGGACCCTCACAGCTCTCCCCGCGCGACATCCCAGGCTTCGTCCCGGACGAATCCGCCAACGGCGAGGACCAGGAAATCGACGCCTGGGCCTGGTGGCGCAAGGACGAGTCCTCGGGCTCTTACCGCTTCCTGGACCAGGGCATCTCCACCGTCGCCGAAGCGGTCCGCGAGGCCGGCGGCGTCGACGGTGTAGTGGGTTTCAGCCAGGGCGGTGCCTTTGCTGCGCTCCTGGCGGCCATCTTGGAGGGTCCGCATCGCGATGAGAAGATGCCGGAGGACCTGAAGGCTTCGGCGCAGGCGTTGCGGGAAGCTAACGGTGGGAAGCCGTTCAAGTTTGCAGGCATTTACTCTGGTTTCTTTGCGCCGCCTGAGGAGTTGCAGTGGGCTTACGAACCCAAGATCAAGACGCCTACACTGCATTTCCTTGGTAGCTTGGACACTGTCGTTGAGGAATCAAGAAGTCAGGGGCTTGTGGACCGTTGTGAGGAGCCGATGGTCGTTGTCCATCCCGGGGGCCATTACGTGCCTATTACCAAGGAGTGGGCCATGCCGCTGATCGGCTTCCTCAAGAAGATTGCCGATGAAGAGACAGCGAAGAGCAACATTTAGATGTCAGTCACACATTACGAACGAATGAATTGGGTAGGAGTATAGATAGGTACATCAAGGACATTGGTTCATCATAGAATAGACCGAAGCATGTTTTACACATCCCAGCCTGGTTCATTGCCTTCGTCTAAGATAGTGTTCTACAATTACACGCCGTAACCCATGCCGAAACCCCGGCACCCATCCAGACGTCTAATGCGCCTTAGTAGACTTTCCCTTGCCCGACTTGGACGCGCCAGGCTGAATGTTGGCCATCATCTCCTCCTTGGTAATGAGATGATCAATACGCTCGAGGTGACCCAACAAGCTCTTCATGTTGGAGCTCCACTCATTCAAGATGTCATCTGCATCTCTGGGCTTCGCGAAGCTCACAATGCGCGCAGGGCGATCGATCTTGGCGTAGATAGTCTTGGAGGTAACCAGCTCGCTAATGTACTTCTCCGTCTCGTCCTCAGTGAGATCCAGCAGCTGGGTAAGGCGCTGAGTCTGGATGCGGGTGTAGTACTTGGCGACCACACGCACATTGTGCTCGATGACTCTCTTGCGGAGATCCAACCAGCGCTGGTGCGCCTTCTCGTCGTCCGACTGACCGGCCTGGGCGTCGAAGACATCGGTTTCGCACAGGTGAGGGCCGAAAGTCTTTGCAACCTCTGGCCAGCGCATGAGCTCGTGGACTGTGAAAAGCTTAAGAAGCTCGGCCTCCTGGGTGACTTGGCCGATTCTAGAGTCCTTCTGGATTCTGTGCAGCAGATCGTGCTGCTCGTTGTCGTGAGGGGCAAGAATGACGAAATAGATGATGCGTTGGAGGACCTAGAGATTGTTTGTAAGCAGTTGTGCTTGTCATAGCCGAGAGTATTGATCTTACAGGGTGGAGCTTCTTGGGGTCTTCCTCAACGGCCTCAGTGTCCAGAACCTGGCGGTAGTGCTTGCAGACATCAAGGTACTTGTCATCATGCTTCGCAAGGATGATCTGTTGCTCGTAGTACCGCAGCTTCAGGTCTGTTGTGTCATCCTCCTTCTCTTCGGGGACTTCCTCGCCTCTCGCCTTCTTCTTCTCGCGCTCCTTCTTCTCCTTCTCCAGCTGCTCGGGCGTCTTCTTCGGCTTTCGCGACAGGTATCGGGTGCTGATCTTCCTGCTTAGAATCTGTGCTTGAGTCCAGTCGCCAACCTCAATGCAGAGAGCGACTTGTGCGAGGATGAATTCGGTCTTCTCTCTTCGGTCCATAGATCCGAACGTCTCAACCTGGAGCTCGCAGAGGATATCTGTCGCCGCCTTAAGGTCGCCCTGCTCCTTCTTGATATCGGACAGAGTCTTGGTCACACGCGCACGCTCGACTTCGACAAAGATCTTTCCCTCGGTGACCGTCCGCAGTGTCTCGATGACGGTAAGCTTGGTTTCGAGATTCGGGGTAGAGTCGAGGAAGCCCATGACCGCCTGGACCATCTTGGTGATAGCTTGCTTGAGCTGCCCATGCTTCTTCGAGAGAATCAGAACCTGCTCATTCATCAAGCTCCAGTCCCCGGCATTCTTGGTGATGTTGACAATGGCGATGAGTATACGCGATGTCGATGCGAGATCTGAGGACTGCGCTCCGTTAGCACGTCAGCATCTGGGGAAGGGAGGGGTAGCTTGCTCACCTGACGGGTCTGCTTCTCCAAGACGCTCAGCTTCTCGATGGCAGCTGAGATATCGCTCTGTACAAATATCAGTATTCATTGCATAGCCACGTCAATTCCGGGCTGCAATCCGCACCTTTGCGAGCTTCTCTGCCTCCGGGATCTGCTTGTCCGTCTCCTTCGAGAAGTCCTTCTCGGGCTTCAAGGCTGCCTCCGACATGCTGGGCGATAGTTCGGGGGTTCTGTTTGTGTTGAAGGTAGCGACGCGAGTTCAGATCGGAATCGTGGCTGCGGTGGATTGGCAGTTGAAAAGGCTGTCGGTTGGGAAGGTGAGGCTGATTTGGTTGTTTGTTAGAATCGAAGGCTCCCGCAGCTACGCAACATGCTCGTGCCTACCTGACCTCACCCTGGCCGCAGTGCTCAGGAACCCGGATTAGGTAAGGCGGGGCAGAGCTGGCACGGAGGGACGTACCTTTTCCCGGCCCTGCCTTCCCGCTTCCATCGATGGTCTGTGCATGGTAGCTTCCAGTTACTGTCGGTCCAGTTGCTATCGGTATTCTTTCCTCTAACCAATTTGGCTCTTGTTGATGGATGGCAGACGGATCATATTCTTGCCGGCGAGTACGCGACGTTCCAGAATCAACATCAAATATCGAAAGAATCAATGAGTCTCCTCTCCATAGACTTCATAGGATATGAGGAGGAATCGTATGTTCAGATTACCTCACTGGGAAGCTGAACTGAAGTTACTGCTTGATTACCAATTGACGCAACCTTGTTTTGCTTGTGTCTACCGTTAAGCATATTCCATCAACGTATTTCGTATGCCCTTAGAATTTTACACAGCTTGTCATTTCGACCTGCTACATTTTTTCAACAAAAATAATCCTATTAGCGTCAACCGCCCATTCTCGAATGCTTGAATGGATTCGACCTGCGATTTCTTCAATAAAGCCCTCGCAGCCTGGCATCGCGATTATGATGACATGGTCACTCCCATGACCCCGAAGCCTCTTCTATTTGTGTCTGTACGGGACAGTTGCAGCGTAGGCGCACGCCTGGCTCGGAGTACTTCGGGTAGGTAAAGAAGCAGATGCGCGGGATCCGCGGGATAAGCTCTTGCTCGCAGCTCAACAGTTTATGTGGCCTAGTTTCCATGGTCGAGAATAGATTATGTAGTATTTGAAAAACATTATATACTAAGAAGAGCTTATGCTATCGGCGGACAAAGCAATATTTAGGGGTTGACAGGTGGGGGAGTGCTATCAATGACAATCGTCGTAGGGTTGACCTGGTTGCAGAGCAAGTCTCCAAGGCCACCGGCATGGCAGTATGTGAAAACATCGCCCTCGCCCCAGTAGCCGAAACTATTTGCCCTCGTCAGTTCGTCATCGTTCTCAGGTTTCATGATTAAAAGTAACTTACGCAAGGCCAAGCTCGTGGTAGATGCGCAGGGCAAACTCAGTCTCCTTGCCCGGACGGATTGTGAAGCGGTACTTGGACTCGCCGCAGGTAATCACATCGGAAGGAACACCGGTCGCACCCTGGCATGCCAGATCCGTGGCGTTGTTGCCAGAGAGAAGGAAGCTGACGTTGGTGACTGTTCCATTTTGCTGCTTACGGACAGAGAGGTCGGCGATGTCAATGTTCTCGTACGGGCGAGGCTCTTCCGTCTCTTGGGGTGCTGGGGCAGCGAGGGCAGCAACGCTGAAGAGGCCAGTGACGGTAGCGAGAGTGAACTTCATTTTTGCAATTCAAGGTCGGTCTTTGATCGTTTCTGGTGATGTTGGCAATAGTCGAGATTCTGTTGCACAACTAGTAAGGGTGGTTATGAAAGTAAAAAGTCCAGCTTGGGAAGAGGCTGCGCTGTGGTCGGTTATATACTTGCGATGGGCTCCAGATACCGGTCCATAAGATCATCATCGCCAAGTCGGTTTGGTCGGGCAAGCGAGGTTGGTGATTTCGACGTCACCGTCGCTTGGGAGGTAACCATTGTGTGGGGAATGCCTGTCCGGCAAATCCCAAAATGGCTGTGTTCTCGTAAACGAAACTATGACAGTGTTGGAAGCGGGTAAACACAAATGACTAGCAATTCTGTCTCACTCTCAACTGCTCCCCTCTTGAAAGGTTCTGTCTCATGGGTAATGCCAGAAATAGCACATGAGATGAACTGTTCAATTCTCCACATCGATCACGAACTCTAATTTGACCGGGGCACTAAGACCACAACTTCTGTAAAGCTTTTATCTAGTGAAGGCTGGGATCCTGGGATTTGGCTGGCACGGCTGGTAATACCTACAGGGCAGGTTTTTCTTTCCACTGGAAATAGTGACGCTTACAGGGAGGCAATAAGTCCAGGGGAGTAAGAAAGCGCTGGAAATGAGAGCCCGGAATGCACAAAAGCTAAACCCCAGCAGAGACAGCAACGTTGTTTTGCTGCGTTGGTAGTCACATCGGGCAGTAAAAATGTGGACAAAATGACCGCCGATCTTCTCGTATTACCGCCAAGATCAATGTGGTTTCTTTGATGCGGTCACGGCCGCAACAGCCGACTCCCCATTACAAATTACCCGAAAGTTCCAGCTCTGGTGCTTGGTTCTCTTATACCAGCTGCAAAATCCATAAGTCCGGCTGATGTATCCTCTCAGATCGAATAGTAACTGTTGAGCTCTGAGAAAATATGATGTTCTCAACCTGTGCTTTGCAATGGTATCTGGTACACAAGACTATCGTTGCAAGATCTTGCACAACGCTAGTGTCACCGGGGCTTGCATCTGGGCTTCCTCTTGCCGCCAAATATGGGCCGATACTCAAACAACTACCGTCTGCATAAATACACGCTCAACTCCACCAAGATGAATTTGCATGAAGTCCTATTTTATTTTTCATGTTTACATATCTGGAGTTTCTCTTCTTCCGATTCAGCGAGTCAACTCAATGGGAGGGTTCAATATTTCCCACGCTGCATTGTCCGAACTTCGGTAAGCGTCCGAAATCCTTGGGATCTATGGAAGTGTCAGACCTCGAGCTTCTTCGCCACTTCTGTGATTTCACTATATCCGAATTGTCGAATGACCTGTACTACTTCAACGGGACTTCTGTCGTATGAATGTCGTAAAGTAGGACTTAACCACGAGTGTTGATGCTAAGCGTCTTAGACTTGTTAGCTTCACATTTTGCGAGTCTTTGCCCGCAAAGGAAAAGGCCACATGTTGCAACCTTCGGCTGAGTGATGGAATCTAATGAAGAAAAAGAATAATTTAGGCCACTAGATCTGCTCAAACACTCAACCTTGGCAACTTACACCGGTCCTAGCCCATAAGTTTTCAGAATTACACTGGCTAGATGATTAGATGAAGCGTCGGCTATAGGAGAAGATTTCAACTTCCACCAAATATCACTACACTTTAACTACGTGTAACAAGCGCCGAGGTCGTTCACGAATCTACGACATGATGATACGGAAACCAGCACACATTAGGCGTTGATAGACGAGAACCTGGAAAATGGAGATCTATTCTTATGGAATCAACGATAGCTTCATAGAATTCTTGTCATTACAGTTTTACCTGAGATGATAAACTGTGCATATGTAGTGGCCGGAGATCTGGCATGTTGCTGGATTATCACGTCCTTATGGTAACATCTCCATGACTCCATCAAGTTAACTTAACAGTGACGACGCCCTTAGAAGGAACAGCGACGGATACCCCTGAGCCCGAGATGCTGGCCGTCGTGGAAGCGGGCTTGTGGCTGTTGTCAGTGACCCATGCGCTTGCAGCCTTGGGAGTGAACCCCTTGAGTGAGACGTTGGCAGCCTTAGCAGCGCTGCCATTGTTTGTGGAGATGATCACAATAGACCCATCTTTGTTTTTGACTGCTGTGGTCAAGACGTCGGATGCCACCATGCCCGACGTTTGTAATATCTGCGCGCCGGGTCGGATGTACCGCGACCACATGGCGAATGCCCAGAAGTTAGCCGACGGCGTCGCGGTCTTACCATCCTGCGTATCGACGAGGTGGGAATTGTACTGCAGCTGCTTGAGTTCAAAGCCCTCCCAGGCAAGATAGGCAGAGAGATTGGCATTTATGATGCCAACGGCAATCTTGTTGGCCCAGGTCATGCCCTCTGTGGCGCCTCTATTCTTGAACCAGGTCAGGTCAAAGACTGTCGTGATGCTAGATTCGGTGACCCAAGAAGACAACTCAGTGTTGAGAGCGGTGTTGGCGTCGCCTGAGTAGGTGTGCGAGGTGATTAGACCCAAGTAGGATTCCATACCAGCGGCAACGAGAGCGTTGGTGTATTTGACGGTTGAAGCCCAGCCAACAGCATCACAGCAGGTGACTGCGGTCTTGAGACCGGCAGATTGAACGGCTTTGGACAGAGTGGGGATGAAAAAGATGGCCTCCTGGGCATTGAAGCTTATTTGCATCTGAGAGTATTCAGGGCTGGGTAGTGTGGTAGTAAGTCCATGTCCCTAGCTTTAACGGGGGTTCTGATGCTCACGAGAAGTCGGGCTCGTTAAGGAAGCCTAGGTGGGTAATGTTGAGCCCGGCTTGCTGGTAGTACTTGACATACTGCACGAGGAAGTCGGCATAGGCTTATCGCCAATCGCCAGAGGAGCAGGCATGGCCGGTTGTGCCGCATAAGTGTCTAGAGCGTGTTAGAGAGTAGCCACTCAAGCGACTACTTGTGTTCTCGTCGCTTCATTACCACTCGTCTTCATGAATCCAGGAGCACTCCAAGCGTCAGTGTAGATTTTATTCACCCCATAGCTGACGGCCTGCTTTGTGAACCATACCTGACCGCTATCGTCGTTGCCCCAGGTATAAGTCGGCTTACCTGCAGGCGATCCAGGGCTCGTGGGAAGAATGCTGTCTCCTTTGCCGCCGGAACCAAGGCGATTGCGGATGATGCTGAACCCGGCACCTTTGATAGGGCTGAAAAGTAGATCGAGAGCCCCCTTCTGAAGGGCCGTGGGTGCGTTCTGGAACTCCTTGGCATGCCCAAAAGCTTAAGATAAGCCAAATCCGTCGATCTTTAGCAACTTGGAGGTGGTGTCGACGGTAACCTGCCAAAGTGCCAAAGCGCCTAGACCGACAACACCAAGCAAAGTTGTGAAAGGTGACATCTAATCAGCAAATCATGAACAAAGAAAGAATGTGATGTTCGATATCGAAAGGAATGTGGGAGTGGGCCGAATCCGCGTGCCAAGAAAAACGACAACCCCGGGAGTTTTGCGGATCTCATATAGGTACATGGGGCATTCAAGAAACTACCGAACAACGCGGGAATCTCGCATCCCCTTTGGCAAGATAGTATACAGTCCGAAAGCCATTCTGATTGCTCGTTTCTGGGACTTACGGATTTTGGTACATGCTAGCCCTCCGGACCCAGAATTGAGGAGTCTTGACAATATACCTTTCGAAATGATGCTGTGCTCATGTCATTGTTACCAAGCTACAGTGGCGCTCATTGGAGCAGGGAGAGAAAACAAATCGCTCCAATAGAAACATTGGTGATCTAGTCTCGGGAACGTCCGAACTGCTCGCATAGCAGCGAAGCTGGGGCTTCCTAGTCCTTCTTCGGCTAGTGACATAGAGTGAACATGAAACCCAGGGGCCAGGCGAATATGTGTTATTCAACTACAAATTACGGCAGGGGCTTTTTTGGCCGTGATTGCGCCTTAAATCTTGTTTGAAAATTTGGGCCAGTCGTTATGAGGAAGTATAGAGGTCTAAGCTCGTAGCGACTGTACTGCAGTAGATACAGCATCGTTGTCTGGAGATGGCCATAGCTCTGATTGAAGGACTCCGCGGCATCACCAAATACCCAATTTGTTTGAAACATCGGGTCTCAAGACTGCGATGTTGTAGTGCGAAGTGTCCCTTAGTAGTTCGCAAGTCAGTGGATCTAGATACGACAATTCCTGATATAAAATACAAAAAAGGATGGTTCTTCCGTCATTATTCGTTCCGTTCAACCCATATGCCTCATTCGTTCTTGTTTCTACTTCTTTTCACTCTTTTGGTCTATCCATTCCATACAACGCAACATCTTTTGTCACAATGAAGTTCACTCCTGTTGTCTTGGCCGTTGCCCAGGTGGCATCCGCTCATTACTTCTTCGACACCGTGGTTCAAGACGGTACCGCCGGAAAGTCTTTCCAGTACATCCGAGACTTCACCCGTGCCACCAAGTATAACCCGATCAAGTTCTCGAACAACCCCGCCGCCGATATTCGCGATGGTTCCTACATCGACGGCCCGGACAGCAGATGCAACCAGGGAGCTTACACCAACGCCGCCAAGACGGAGGTCCTCGACGTCACTGCGGGAAGCGACGTTACGGTTAAGCTTGGCGTAGGCGCCACCATGCAGCACCCTGGTTAGAAGACTCTGTCGCTGCGCGATTCTCCTCGATGTTGTACGTTGACTAACATCTAGACCCAATTACTATAGGACCTGCTCTGTACTACATGTCGAAAGCCCCCGATGGCAGCGTCAAGGACTACGACGGCTCGGGTGACTGGTTCAAGATTGGCGAGACTGGCGTTTGCACCCAGAGTGGTGACTTCACCAAAGACGCTTGGTGTACTTGGGACAAGAACACTCTTACCGCCACCATTCCCAAGGATACGCCTTCAGGGGAGTACCTCCTGCGCTTTGAGCACATCGGTAAGAATTTGATATTGGCTTCAAATTCGCGTACGTCATTTGTATCATGATAATCTAACAAACTCTGCCAGGCGTCCACAAGTCGTTTGACCACGAGCCTGAGCACTTCGTGTCTTGCGTCCAGGTCAAGGTCACAAGAGGCGGCAACGGCACCCCTGGCCCTCTGGTCAAATTCCCTGGCGCGTACAAGTACACCGACCCTTACGTGAGCTTCAGTCTCTACAACGGATACAAGGCTTTCCCGATGCCTGGTCCTGCTGTGTGGTCCGGCGGATCGAGCGACGTCAACAACACCCCGGCAGCTGAGGCAGTCCCAAGCAGTCTGCCTTCGACGACCCTGGTCACTGCTACTCGTTCTGCTACTCCCAGTGCAAAGGCTGCTGCTGGATGCGCCAAGCTCCGTCGCTGATGAGCCTGTATACCGAGCATGTATACCGAGCATGTATACCGGTAATGTGCGACATAGGCTCTGCCTCTGGTATTACTTCCGCCAGACGGTTGGCGAAGTATGTCGGGATAGAGGCTTCTGCTCTTTGTTGAGATGCTACTTTAGGCGTTGCCTAAGTGTTGCTTTAATTCTATTGTACAATTTTGAAGACAAAACTTTACTTGCCATAGCCAAAGAACTATATATTATCACAATCCTGCTCAAGCTGCCCAGAGCTGAGAATCAGGTGAGCTAACCCCAGGTTTGATATGTGGGCAAGATTCGTGTTAGGTGAGAAGTCAAGATGTAAGCAATGGGCGGCCTACGCCGTACAAGTACTTTTCAGTCCTGGACTCAGATTGCCTCGATGGTGCTTGTGGTTTTGTGGGAGTGAGATCCCTGTCCAAGCCACGGATGGTTGACCAGGCGGTCAAAGATTCGTGTATGTTGGGAAAGGGATGCCGAGGTGGGGGTCACAGACGAGAACGGATAGAATAATGGTGACTACTGTGGAGGTGGGGAAGGCACCTCTAAGGTCTACCGCCAACCTAGGTCTTGGTCATCCTTCATCCTCCTTGAGATCTCATAGTGCAGTTCCATTCTATAGAAAGAAGTATTACCAAGGCACGGTATAGGTGAGTAGTGCGAGAGCCGAGCACATCCAATCATGGCTATGGCTCTTAAGCTAACTGTACTGATCCTTGAAAGCTCGAGGGAAATGGAGAGCTCACCGTCCCCAGACGGTAAAAGAGAGTTACCCCATGATCCCCAACGTATGACCCCCACATAGTCCCGCAAACATCCCTGGCCCCAGGTGTCCAAGAAATCCCATATTCCTTCTGTCCTAACGCCGGATCTGATGCCGGGGAGCTGCAAGGTGGGGGCGGTCCGACGAGAAAGTCGGCTGATATTTGGGGGGTTCGGGGATGACCAAGCAGCAAGGAACAAAGGCATCGTTTGAATGCTGCCATGCTAGGCCCTACCCCATGGGGTCGTTTCCCCGCGTTTGGATTGTTCTCCACGTTTGCCTGGGGATAGGGGGAAAATGAAGGGAAGAAGATGATTGTGGGACGAGGAGAAGGAATGGGAGGTTGTTCAAAGGCTGACGGGTCCGGAGAAAAGGAGGTTAAGTTCAGGGCCTTCCCACGTCTTTTGGCCGCCGCATTTTTGGCTTCTTATAGGCAGGTCTCCTTGTCTGTCACCTCGCCAACTTCCTCAATCCCAGTTGCTTTCCGATACCTGAGCCACGAGAGGAGTAAGCTATACTCAGTCTTGGACCAATAAGCAACCATGGATATGGACAAGACAGAGAGGTCTTCGGACCAGGTCGAGGACGTCAACGCCGATAAGCTAAGCCAGCATGGCGGCAACCTCATCATGCCAGCCAGCTTGGCGGCCTTGAGTCAGGAGGAGTATGAGAGAATTGGCAAGAAGGCGACGTTGAAAATGGACTTGGTGATCATGCCCATCATGGTCATCATGTACATCCGTGAGTGCAACCCGCGTACTCCAACCATCTACTCCCAGAGGACACGACTAACATATCTGATAATTAAAGTTAACTACCTCGACCGCCAGAACATTGCCAGCGCAAAGCTCGCCGACATCACCACAGACCTGAACCTGAGCCAAGTCGAGTACCAGACAACCGTCAGCATTCTGTTTGTTGGCTATAGTGAGAACTTCCAATCCGTTCAGTCGCAGAAACACTTTTCTCAAACCCTGGCTAACACGGAAGCTCTGCAGTCCTCATGCAAGTTCCCTCGAACATGATTGTCGGCAAGATCAAGTGGCCCGGGGCGTACATCTGCTGTGGCATGGCCGCATGGGGTGTTATTTCTTCCCTCATGGCCGTGGTGCACAACTACGAAGGCCTACTGATGGCGCGCTTCTTCCTTGGCTTCGTTGAGGCCATCTTCTTTCCTGGCGCACTGTACTTCCTCTCCCTGTTCTAGTAAGCGATCCCAATCATGTGCTCTTGGTCCCGAGCGATATTGATGTGTGTCTCTCTAGTAACCGAAAGCAATTTGCCTTGCGGACTGCCATCCTCTATTCTGGTTCCCAGCTGGGCAATGCGTTCGGCGGTCTCTTCGCCATCGCCATCCTGAACCTAGATGGTGCACACGGACTTGCAGGTTGGCGTTGGGTATGTGCCTGCTCTCTCTTCTTTATCTGAAGCCTTCTCGGTCTAATCATGTAAACCATAGCTCTTCCTCGTAGAGGGCGTCATCACCGTCGGCTTGGCCATTCCGTTCGCATGCATCCTGCCCAATTCCAACAAGAAGATTCCCACTCTGACCCAACTGGAGTGCGAATGGGTGCAGTACAACTTCGCTGCAGATCAGGGCCAGGAAGATAATTCCAGCGAAGTCACCGCTATGAAGGGTTTCATGATGGCCGTCACGGATCCAAAGACCTGGATGCTCATGGGAGTCCTTTACTCTGTAAGTCGCACACCTCACCTATCTGCCCCCTTCCATGCACCTTTCCGAAGAGGTTAGAGAAGTTTTTGGCACACCAGGAACAACCTTGCTAAGTCACCCGGACCATCAGACCTACATCGTCGGCGCCGTCGCAAACTTCTTCCCCTCTGTCGTCGGCGGCCTCGGCTTCTCCCGCACAATGACCTACGCCCTCACCGCGCCCCCATTCCTCCTCTGCGTCATCACCATGCTCCTAAACGGCTTCCACTCAGACCGCAAACAAGAACGTTTCCTTCATATCGTCATCCCCCTATGCGTCACCCTCGTCGCCAACATCATCGCCGTCTCAACAACCAACACGGCAGCACGCTACGTTGCCATGATGCTTCTCCCCGGTTCTTTCTACGCTGCCGCGGTGGTCGTGCTCTCTTGGATCACTGGTAGTCTAGCTCAACCTTCGGTCAAGCGTGCGAGTGCCATTGCCCTTATCAACGCCATGTGTAACACGCCGAATATCTGGGGTAGTTATCTGTATTATGGTGCGCCGAGATACGTTACGGCGTTTATTGTGAATATTGCGGCGACAGGTTTGGCGATTGGATTC